TTCTTTCTTTCTTTCTTTCTTTCTTTCTTTCTTTCTTTCTTTCTTTCCTTCCTTCCTTCCTTCCTTTCCTTCCTTCCTTCCTTCCTTCCTTCCTTTCTTTCTTTCTTTCTTTCTTTCTTTCTTTCTTTCTTTCTTTCTTTCTTTCTTTCTTTCTTTCTCTCTTTTCTTTCTGTATCTATCCATCTTCCTTCCTTCCTTTTCTTTTACTCCCTCTCTCTCCCTCCCTTCCCCTCTCTCTCTCCTAGGCACTCCACCTGCTTTCCCAAGGAGACGCCAGAGGGCCGGGTCGGGTGCCTGGCTTCCTCTCCCCATGCCAGCAGCTGCCTGGGGTGACTTACCCTCCGAGTGGTGCCTTGGATGCCCTCCGCGGCCGGCGCTTTGGAAGGATTGGTCCAGGAGCCGGGAAGCACCTCCAGTGGCCCCTGTCAGGAGGGGAGGGATGCCTAGTGATTGGAGCCACACGGAGGGAACTCCTATTTCCACCCCCAGCTTAGGGGTGGGTCACTTCCTCCGGCTGAGGCCTCAATTTCCCCATTGTTGTGGCAGGTTAATTGGAGCTGCCTTGAAAGCCAGACTGAGGAGGAGCAGGAAGGCGGGTGCCTCTCCTTGCCGCCCTGCAGCATCCTCCAGAAATACAGGGAGTCCTCGACCTACGACCACAATGGAGCCCCAAATTTATGTTGCTAAGCGGGATGGTTGTTAAATGAGTTTTGCCCCGTTTGCCACAGACGTTAAAGTGAATCACTGCAGTTGTTAAGTGAGTCACATGGCCATTAAGTGAATCTGGGTTCCTGCTTGTCATAAGGCTGCAAAAGGGGATCGCCTGAGAGACCCTTTTTCACACTTTCACACTCTATTTATTTATCTATCTATCATTATCTATCCATCCATCCATCTACAGTATCTGTCTCTCTCTCTTTCTCTCTCTCTCTTTCTCTCTCTCTATATATATGGATAGATAGATAGATAGATAGATAGATAGATAGATAGCCAATTCTCTATCTCTATCTACCTATATGTCTATCTATCCATCTATCTGTCGTTCCTTCCATCTACAGTATCTGTCTATACACATCTGTCTGTCTGTCTGTCTGTCCGTCCATCCATCTAAAAACTAATCAGTCCTGTTGGCTGTCTGGGCCTGTTTACATGACCCTCAACATTAAATTTTGTGCACTGGACAAAAGTGCCCAGAGTGTAACAATCTTCCCCACTGGATCCCTTCCCTCCCGTCTCTCCCCCCCCTCCCTTCCGCCTGCCCTTCCCTCACCAGCCCCCCCTCCCAGCCAGGGCAGGGATCCTTCCCCGGGGATCTGTTCCCAGCCGTGGCTCTCCTGCCCTCTGTTGGCCGGCGCATGCAAGCGCATTGGTGGGCCCAGGAATAAAGAGACTCGTGTTTGTGTGTGTGTGTGTGTGTGTGTGTGTGTGTGTGTGTGTGTGCCAGGCGGATTCCTCTCTGTTCCATGCACAATCACACATTGTGCTTTGCAAAGCAAGACTGAACAGGGAAGGTTTTTTTTGGGGGGGGCGGGGGACGTTAGGCTGAAAGCAGCACCCACCCCAGGAGGAATTGAGCTGACCCTGTATGGAGGAAACTGCCACTAGCCAAACAGTCCACAGAGGGGAAGGAAAATGCCCCCCAATTAAACCGTGGCTCCCTTCCCTGGATGCCAAGGGATCAGCCGACTGATCCTGGTTTGCATATCACCCACACATCTGGGTCAGGCTTAATCGAGCCAATTGAGGGCTTTAGGATTATCCGGTCCCGTGGCTGGTATCCACTGGAATGTCTGGCTAATACAACGGCTTCCAATCCAATTTAACCCAACCAGACTTTTATCACCGGGCAGCAACCCCCTTCTCTGCCCCACTCCCACCCCCAAGAGGTAAGCACGAAAACCTGAAACGCTAAAAGGGAACCAGGACCAATTTTCAGGTGCGAGGAGAGAGCGTGCCGAGAAGCGCAGAATTGTGCCAGTCCAGAAAGATCTATAGATAGCAAAGTCAGTGGGGAAGCTAGATTCACTTAACAACCATGCAGTGATTCACTTAACGATTGCAGGGATTCACTTAATGACTATGGCAAGAAAGGTCAGAAAATGAAGCGACATTCATTTAACAACTGTCTAGTTTAGCAGCAGAAATTTTGGGCTCAGTTGTAGTCGTAAGTCAAGGACTACCTATATAAAATTAAATAAAAAAACCTGCAGAGAGAGAATTTGGTTCAAAATGCCACTTCTGGATGGAGGGCGTCTCTCTGTCCGGCCATGAAGGGACACCAGAAGGCAACATAACCTGGCCCAGAAAATTGAGAACCTTGAAGCGGTTTCTTTGGCACAGATATTCACATCTGTTGTGCATGTAGGTGTAAGAGTGTTGTATGTTTTTTCAAGAACAGTTGTTTTATCCCATGCTCAGTTTTGTGGGAGCGACGCATGTAGCCTGTAATCCTTCCCCTGGCCAGGTGACGCCATGGATTAGATAGGTAGAATTCTTTATTGGCCAAGTGTGGTTGGACACACAAGGAATTTGTCTTGGTGCAAATGCTCTTGGTGTACACAAAAGAAAAGAGACATTCGTCAAGAGTCAAGAATCATAAGGATGAGGGAGGAAGGAGAGATCCCAGCCTAGATATTGCACTAAGTGTGGTTTCTAAATTTATGGCTTGTTTGCATGAATCCTAGTTTGAAAAACAGGGTTTGTTCCTAGCAGTCAAAGCCCAGTACTTATACGGCTCAGCCAGGGAACTGCGGTTAAACCATCATGCTTACAGAATGGTTGGCAACTTTAAGACTTGTGGACTTCAACTCCCAGAATTCAGCTGTGCTGGCTGGGGAATTCTGGGAGTTAAAGTTGCCATGGGTTGGACAGCCCTGCCTTAAAATTAAGCCTGAAGCTATTCTGGAATTAGGTCCCCACATCCTGCTAAGCCAAACTGTGATTCATTTGGGGTTATCTTAGGTTGTCACTCAAACCAGCTCTACTGATTGGCAAACCAAGGTTTGAAGTGGGGGGGGGGGGGCGTTGAAGAAAATTCTGAAAGGAATTGACAACTTTTTGGGGCAAAAACTGCAGGCAAACATCACACGCCCCAAGACGGTGGGTGGGACCAGGACCAGAATCTCAATCAATTTCCCTTTAATGAAAAGTCAGTGGCCTGTGGTAGGTAAAACTCCAATTTGTGGAATTCGGGGCTTTTCCTTTTGGAAGATTACAAGCCAGTCAACAGGCTTTGAATTTTTTTAGGGGGAGGGTCTCCCGGACAGGAACAATATGGGTCTCCAAGGCAGAAACAGGGGGATTTCATGGGCAGAAATGGGGAGGAGGGTCTCCTGCAGAAACAGAGTCGGTGGGGTCTCCCTCGCTCCCCCCTCCCCAACTCAATCCTCCTTGAGCGCAAAAGCGGCGCGGGGCCGGAGGGGATTCGCGGCGCCATCTACCCGGAGCCGCAGGGTGGTGCGGATGACCAGCGTCTCCAGCAGGATGGAGCCCACGAACCAGAAGGGGGCGTACTCGAGCGTGACCAGCCCCATGAAGTTGTAGGTGAAGTGGCTGTAGTCCCACGGGCAGGCGCCAAAGTGCCGCAGCAGCGCGCCCGTGGCAAACTCCCACAGGTAGATGCAGACGGTGTAGAGCGCACCGCGCGTGGGCAGCCGGCAGCGGCCCCGCAGGCGCAGGTAGAGGCGCTCCAGGATAAGCCCGCAGGTGCCGTAGATGAAGGGCGCCCAGGCGCTGCTGCCCCCATGGAAGCGCCAGTCCCGCGCCGCGGCGAAGTCCCAGGTGGCCGTGAACAGCACCTCCGCCAGGTAGCCGTGCAGGGCGTACAGGTACCAGCGACCCAGCGCGCTCAGCGGCTCTGTGGGGCTCCCCATGGCTTGGCACCTGCAAGGGGGGGGGTGTGAAGGGAAGAGGGACGGTGGTGAGGGGGAGGCAGTTTCATAGTGTCCCACCATACAGGTAATCCTAGACCAGAGGTCTCCAATCTTGGCAACTTTAAGACTGGTGGACTTCAACTCCCAGAATTCCACTTTAAGACTTGTGGACTTCAACTCCCAGAATTCAACTTTAAGACTGGTGGACTTCAACTCCCAGAATTCCACTTTAAGACTTGTGGGTTTCAACTCCCAGAATTCAACTTTAAGACTTGTTGACATCAACTCCCACAATTCAACCTGAAGACTTGTGGACTTCAACTCCCAGAATTCCACTTTAAGACTTGTGGACTTCAGCTCCCAGAATTCAACCTGAAGACTTGTGGACTTCAACTCCCAGAATTCCACTTTAAGATTTGTGGGCTTCAACTCCCACAATTCAACCTGAAGACTTGTGGACTTCAACTCCCAGAATTCCACTTTAAGATTTGTGGACTGGGAGTTAAATTCCACAAGTCTTAAAGTTGCTACGTTTGGGGACCCCGGTGTAGAGAGAGTCAGCAGAGTCTGTGCCTCAGCTGTGCTCTTTTTATTTATTTATTTATTAAATGTCTATGCTTCCCATCTCAGTATCAGGGTCTCTGGGCAATTTATAGCATAATAAAAAGCAGATTATAAAACAGGATGTCCAACCGTGGCCACTTGAAGGCCATGCTGGCTGGGGAATTCTGGGAATCGAAGTCCACAGATCTTAAAGTGGTCAAGGTTGGAAAAAAATACTAAAACAATAAATACAACATTAGGATTAACAGAAAATTAGCTAAGATGTGACCTGCATACAACAAGGTAGATTTAGGGTCTTCTATTTCATCCGTAGAATGTCACTTCCCCAACCTCCATCTGGATCCCAGAATTTCCTGAAAGAATCGGAGGGTCTCCTCCCTCCTCCCCCCCTCCTCAGGAGCATCTGGAGACAACAGTCCCCCCCTTGCCCCCGAAATTGTGTTCACCTTTCCCAAACCTCCTGAGCCGGGCTTGTTTAGGCATCCTGTGGCAGGGAGTTCCACCTGCCCATTAGGGTTCCTGGTCAGCTTCTTCCCGGGAGCATCCGAAGAGCCAAACAGCCTCCAACCTCACCACCTGCTCTCTTCTTTGCGTGAGTGGCATCCCTTCATACCAATTCCTTACCTCCCAGGTGATGCTACAGGCTTTGGTTGTGTTAACAGACCCGCAAATGAGGCAGGAGTCCGAGGAGGAGGACCGCCACACTGCCACAACCCTGCAAGGAGAGGTCTCCCTGTGAGTAAAGTAGCACCAAGTTTTGTTTTGGGGCCGGTCCTACACCCTGTTTGGTGGGTGAGTCACTCTCCGTCCTTGGAAGACACAAATAATCATTTGGTTCAGCCGGATGCAGGAAGCAGCATTTCCGTCTTACCTTTCATCTTGGATTCACAACCTCCAGGGCAGACGCAGGTGGTTTTTAAAAGATTTGTAAGTAATTTGCAAGGCCGCAGAGTATCCAGCTTAAAGGCCAAGTCGCCCCGCCACGATGCCACGGAAGCCCAGGTGCTTTTCGGCCCATCCCGGCAAAGGTGAGGAGGACCTCACCTGGTCTCCTGAATCTCTGCCCCGGCCCTCCAGGCTCCTCTGGGGCAGCTGGCTTGGCACCTACTCAGGTTTTTGGATCTCCCCCAACCAGGCTGGTAAACAGGAAGCCTACCCTAATTCTAGCCTTAGCCCTGACCACAGTCACTCTGTGGGCTCCTGCTTACAGGTAGTCCTCACCTTACGGCCACAATTGAACCCGAACGTCCTGTTGCTAAGCGAGGCTCTTCGTTAAGTGTGTTAACCCTTTCCTGCCCCAAGTGGTTAAGGGAACCTGGCTTCCCGCAGTGATTTGGCTGGTCAGGAGGTCGCAAAAGGGGATCCCATGACCCCCAGGAACACGGCCACCATCCTAAATAGGAGCCAGTTGCCAAGCAGAGCCTGAATCACGAGGGGTAGATCCGGAAGGGTGGCAGCTCAGGGCAGAGCCAGCAATGGGCAGGTGCTACCGGAGAGGACAGGTAAGCCTGGGAGCACATGAGGAAGAGAGGCACATCCTTACCTGGCGGTTTGGCTAATTTTGGCAAGTCCAGGTGTTGAGTTTGGCTTTTAAAGGGGCTTTGAGGAGAGGCTGGGAGGCGCAGGGAAGGCGACCGGTGGAGGATCAGGTCTGAAATGTCAGTTTTTTTTCTTTGCTCTGAAATCCAGGTAAGGAAAGGGGGATCCCCATAAGGGCTGGGGGTGCCTTTTAGGGCCTTGCTGCCAGGGAGAGAAAAGGGGGCTTTGGGGCACTTGGGGTCTTGGCCCAGGTCAGCCCTTCCAGGTAGGCCAGGGCAGGAAACCACCTGGGTGTCCTCCCTCCAGGTACAAATGTCCAGGCTCAAATTATCCTCCTTCCCACTCGTGATGTGAAGTCCTGTCTCTCTGGAGGAGGCTGGCATGATGGGAAAGGTGGAAGGGTGGAAAAGAGGGAAAGGAGGAGGAGGAGGCTAGAAGACCTGAAGGACCCCATTCCCTTGGGAAGGAAGGAAGGAAGGAAGGAAGGAAGGAAGGAAGGAAGGAAGGAAGGAAAATGAGAGAATAAGGAAGAGAGGGAGAGAGGGAGGGAGAAAGGAATGAAGCAGAGGGAGGGAGAGAGGAAAAAGGGAAGGAAGGAATGGAAGGATGGTGGGGAACGGAAGAATCCTTCCATTCCCCACCATCCACTCAGAGCTGAAGAAGCTTCTTGGATGAAGAAATGAAACGTCTTCAAAGAAAAATCAGAAAGTCCAGTTGCCTCTTGAAAAAGCACCTTTGGGACTACCTGTATATGACTTTTTAAAATGCCTGTACCACCTGTCCCAACACCTTTCCCAATTCATCTGCAGCCCTTTTAAATTGCATCACCTGTTCACCACCCTCAATGGTCAAATAGTTTTCCGGTGATTAAATAGACATTATTTAGAACTGTGTATTTCATGGTCAAAGAATCCAATTACCTGCATGGGTCCTCTCTCACCTGTGCAGCCTCTTTTTAGGGTGTGTATCTCTCTCTCTCTCTCTCTTATTTATTCTTTCCTTAAGAAAACTTATAAGGCCGCCCAACTCACGCGCGGTGACTTCCGGCAACAGAAATAAGACCTCAGAGATACATAATTCACGGGTATTTTTAATGGCACCCCCGCCCTTGTGATCTGTGTTGTTTGTGTAGATTTGCCTCAGGAGGTGCTTCTGTTTGTACCTCTTAGTTATATAAATGGGATTATTGGGTGAGATTTTCCCTACTGACTATTAATCACCTTCAGATGGAAACTCTCAAAATTATAGGGCCGGGATCTCCACGCTTGTGGACTTCAACTCCCAGAATTC